ATCAGCATGCGATATGAATTGCACATGCTTGGAAGTTGTACACATGTATTTTAAACTTATAGCTGCATTTATAAAAACCATTAGAACCAAAATGTCAAAAGCGAAGTACTTGTACAACGCTAGGTATACTATAATATCTAGATATGGCTGTATGCCTCGCAACAATCTTGCAATACAATTAATGCATGCTTGCAATTAATGCATGCGAGTTGACTCCGATCACACTGCCATTGCAAAACATTTGCATGTAAAATTAGAGCGTGTAACAAAAGGTTTATACCCACTTCTACAGCCTAGTCCCATCGTTCTGAAACAAGCGCGAGAAAAAACGTGGGTGTAGCCTAGTACAAGACTGGGACCTTGGTGTGACGTCACCGCTAAAGGTGCTTCAGAACGCCTAGCGGATTTCGGTTAGCACTTTGTTCCATCCAGCAAAAAGCCCTATTGATTTTGTAAAGTCGTTTCTTTTTGGATTTTTTTTATTAATTCGGTTAGGGTTAGGGTTAGGGTTAGGGTTAGGGTTAGGGTTAGAGTTATGGTTCAGGTTAGGGTTAGGGGTTAGGGGTTAGAGTAGGGGTAGGGTTTGGGTTAGTTACATAGCCATTTAACACCTCTTCTATCTTGCGAAAATGACGTCAGGTCAGTTTGCTGGATGGAAAATAGTGCTAACCGCAGATTTCAGTCTTTTTAATATGGCGGAAAATTTATATATACAAATAACCTTGTAAATACGACAATGTTAGTTGATCATGTTCGATGTCCACATAACCAAATTCAAACTGTATTAAAAATGTGCTCAATTAAAAAAATTATATACAAATTTACGATACTGAGTCTGAGCAATGGTAGTATAATCGTTGATGATATTTATATACTCGCAAGTTGTGATCAACACTAGACCATACTGGTATACACAACTATGCTTTCTACTTGACAGGTTTAAGTAGCCGATGAGATTGGAAATATTTACCTGACATGACTGTGTTTTCAAGCATAATTTTCAAGCTTCTAGATAGCATTTAATCCAGATGATCTTGATACGCGGAAAAGTACTGACACTAGTTGTCAAATAGAAATCCATTTTATGATTAAAACAACTGAATATCTCCTGTAATATACCTTATTTCGATTCCATATTTTTGTCAGAGCTATAGTTCTCATAAGCAAACATAATTACAAAATTTCAACTAGTTTCATAAAGAATAACGAAAGATATAATTGACTGAATACATCAAAATGGATTTCTATTCGGACAAC